AATAAGTCTGGAGTAAGTTTCAGATCTCTGAAGGAGGCCAAGTGTTGCTAGGCAGGTCGTATCTGGGCAAAACACAGCGGTTTAATGGTTCGTCCTGACCGCAAGTGGATGTTTCAGCATTTGCGAGGTATACCGGGGATGAGTTTACTATTTAGTTGGAACACTTATAGATTTTAGATTTCTTCATATGCTGATGTAGGAATGAAAGTCTGTTCCTATAATAAAATAAACAGGATTGCCGAAGGAAAAAAAAAAAAATTTAATAAGATCAATTAAATCAAAGTTAATATAATCAATATCAATAACATATATATAAAATAGTACAATAATTAAGCAATATAACAATCAAATAAAAAACTATCAGCATAAAGTTGAGCAAATAAATATGAACTATCAAATATAGTATAATATATAAGAATTACAAATATAAAACTTAAAAATTGTAATTTTTTTGATAGTGATCCAAATTTTCATATTTTTTGTACTGTCTTTACTGCTTTTCATTACCTTGATTTTTTTCAATAAATAGCTTAAAATGCTTTGTATCTAAAGGTCTTCTTTTGTCACACCTTTTTTTTGAATTTTGTAAATAAAATATATTACTATTAATATTTTCTTTATCACTTGAAAGATTATCATAACTACTTTCACTATTAGAAAAATTTTCAGTTTTATCATTTTCATTTACAAATTTTTGCAAAACCTTAACAAAATATTGTGATTTTGATTTAATTGTTAATGTCTTTTGTAATGCTATTTTGTATACTCTATGAAGAGTTTTATACATCAATTTCTGCTCAAAAATATTCATCTATTGGTTTTAACTATTATTATCATTATTAATAGTACATAAATAAGTTGAAGGCTTATTTTCTAACATTAAGATAGATAAACCATTACCAAATTTGTTAGTAACAATGAATGGTTTCTTTGATACTTCTTTATTATTCTGATATCAATGAAAAGATATAAGCCTTATATAAAATCTAACTTTATTAATATTTAACATTATTTGAAAATAGTATCAGCAAACAATTCCTTGTCTAATGATTATAAAGCACTAACACAAATAGATATCATTCTTCAAAAATAAACATAATGTTGTGTCTAACAGCATCTAACAATTTATATTGAGAGTCATCAACATTTCAATATCCAAGAGAATAGTATTCAAATCATTATTAAGTAAAGCATCTTGTTTACTGATCAATATGTAGTGTAATAAAGTGACTAATTTATTTCATCACACTGCATCTTCAAAATTACTGGTGTTAAAAAATTTTGGCAATACTTATTTATTTCAGTGAACAAGAAATTTACATATTTAACATTTTTAACTGATAGTATAGTACGTTTTTAATACTGATACTGATTTTTCTTATCTTGTTAATCAAACAGTCTATAGATTTTAGACACAAGCTTACAAAGTGAAATCTTAGAATTATAAAGCAGTCATTTAAAATATGCATTAATCGATTTAACCTGAGATGTGAAGATCATTTTCCCTATAAATTAAAGGATATATATGAATGGGCTCAAGAAGTTTTTGATCTGTACAAAGTTTCTAAATAATGTTTTCCTTTTGAATAATTTTCTAAGAGCTTTGTAAAATGTTTTTCAAATATAACCTGAACAAAACTATTTCTGTATTTATAAAAATCACCAAGAAACTTTTCATACTAATCATTTAAAGACTTTCTAAGATTTTTATGGATGTTTTAAATAATGTAAAACACACAATGTTAATATTAACGTTAGTACAAACATTAGTACGAACG